ATAGCCATTGTGTTACTTAAAACTAGCTCAGCTAGCTGTTTTTGTTGTTTTGGCCATTATTTCGGCTCTATAACAAACTGGGCTCATTAGATGCTTGGCTTGATGAAAGCTGCTAATATAGAAAACATTGAATTGTGTCTGCTTTTTTTTCATACAAAATGCTCAGAGAGGACTGCTACCCTTTTTCATAGTTCATTGAATATGTAGCAGCTGGTTAGCTTAGCTAAGCATGAAGATCAGCAGCTCACCTCGCTCTGTTCAGGTATGGCATAATTCGATGCTCGTGTTACTCTCAGGGGTTAACAAGTTTGCTTAGGTGTAAAACAGCAAGGCGGTGCTTTCCAGAGCTAACCAACCTCTAAGTATCACATTAGACAAACAGTTCAATGCTCTGCAAAAGTAAGCCCACCCTTTGAAATTTTCCACATTTTACTTCTGGTGGAGCAACACAAAGTAGTGCATAATTTTAACTGAAGAGGAAAAACAATGCCCCATTTTGTTTTTTTGTTTTTTCCAATTAAAAGCCTAAAAAATATGTTGTGGATCTGTATGAAGCTGCCCATTTGGCAAACCATATTTCACCCCCACATGAGCCAGAAAATTTAATTTTGCTCTTGTTTGATAAGGTCTATGGTTGTGAAAAACTCCAAACAATAGCAATGTTTTTGCCCAAATGTCATGTGAATTTTAAGCAAATTCTTTCAAATGTCTCAAAAAATAAAGAGAGAGAAAATTCAAATTAGGCAAGTTTTCATCTACTGGTTTGCAGCAAATTAACCAGGCTTTTCAAAACGTAGTTTTGTCAGATGTTGACATTAGTGTGGCTGTAATAAGCAGGAAGTGGAGGTTGCAAACCAGCATGTACCACACATCTCAGAAAAATGCAACAAAGTTTTCAGGGATGTGTTGCTATCAGGCAAGGTGTAATTGTTCCTTAATGTCAGCTAGTATTAGCGCTGTTACATGTTTTTTTAACGCAGAGAAAGAAATATGACTTCAAAATGTGCACAAAAAGTCATTGATGGAAACACGCCTACTGTCGTCGTCTTGTTACTTAACAAAGACCAAATTTGAGGATTGCGTAATTAATTGTTCTCTAAACAGATACTCCAACCAAAACTGTATGTCTGTTCTGATAAGATCACTTGTGAAGACAATTTTTTTATTTTATTTTGGGGTATCAGAACAAAGGGCAAAGAAACAAAAGTCTTTACCTTTCAACTTCAAGGTGATGCATGCCTCTGTGTTGCTTTGTCAGTTTAATCCCAATAAAAAAGAAAAAAAAAACACGAATGTTTGTAGCTCTAATATAATGAATGTTCAATAGTCCAAGGAGTTCAAAGGCACTTTCATCTCATTTCTTTCTGTAGGTGTAATTTGTCAAACTGTCCCTTTAACCCAGAATAATTCTAATTGGGTACAGATGACAAAAGGACGGGCTAATCTGAACAGTCTTAGCCGTGGTGCGAGATTGTGACAGGTAAATGTTCATGCGACAGGATAATCATGCATTCAGGAATGCAGTGGCAGGGCTGTGTGGTTGCTACCAGCAAGGTCAGTGGCAGCAGGACTTTTTAATATCTCCCATTTCCATGGGAGACCAGCCCCAACAGCTTATATAACACAGGAAACAGATGTTAGCAACTCACAATCATCCCTCTATCTGACTTTTTCTCTGCCCCCTCCCCTCCTCTCTCCTCTTTCTCTCCCCCCCCGCCTTCTAAATCGTATGATAATGTGTCCCAGACATGCCTGTTTTCTTCATCACCTGTATGTTCCAGGACATAAAAGGACCACTGCTCTCTAAATTAATTCTCAGCCCGTTCTTCTAATTTCTTTTTTCTTTTTTAAAGTTGTCTATAAAGTCTAATGCGCTCCCTTGTCAGATTTAGTTTCATACTTTATCGGGTACTTCTCAAAAGTAAGGGGCGAACCTTTCAAAGTGAGGGGATTATTTGTTGTGTAATCCTGCTCGTACGCTGCATGGCGCTGCGGTTATGTGACTATTTTCAGGAACATGTTGGATGTGGAACATAAATGAGGGCAAAAAGGAAAAAAAAAAATTGCTCATCCCGACAGAGGATGGAAGAGAGGAGATGGACAGTTCTTATTAAGCCCGAAGTCGTCAGAAACCAATTCTTGACATCACACTGGCTGCCCATATCTCAACTTTATGACATTGTTTGAAAACGCAAACTCCATTTTACCTTTGCTTGCTTCCATAATGATGCCTGTTGCCAAGGCGACTGCTATAACCCAGGTTACCGACCCTTCCTGTGAGATGCACCGTGTGATTGGCCTGGCGGCCGAGAAGGAGGGGGGTCTGTGGTTGGAGGAGCGGGATTGGCTGGCTGGTTGGCAGAGGCGAGGACCCCCCAGCAGACAGACATTCAGGAGAGAGCATTGATTTAATCGGTCGGCAGCCCAGGCAGACACCATTCACACATATAGATACATCTACACAAACACTGGCAGCGTGGCAGTGTTGCAGGTTGGGTGGGGTTTGGTGGATTTTGGCCCAGTGGGGGTCACCTCTGTGGGAGTTTGTGTATGTGTGTGCAATATCATGCTCTCCAGGAGAAGGCGTCGCTGGCAGTCATAGAAGCACTCCTAGGAGCAGACCATGCTGGGTAATATCACACTCCTCAGGGAACTCACTATGCACACGCGCACACACACATTAACCCACACATACACGCACAGAGTAAGGCTTGACACATATGGGCTGCATTCAACACAGCTGACATAACAATGCAAAGACCCAGACAGGGCGGTTGCAGACACAAATCAGCATATGCTCTATTAGCTTCTTAAATTTTCTCAATGTTGGAGGGCTGAAGTTGGCCAGACATGGGTTGTTGATTCTGCTACACAGGAGGGAGGTAAGGAAATGAGTAGAGGCTCTGCTTGGTCTTCACACAAACGTCCTTCTGAGCCACTGGCCACTAGACTAGGAGTCATCTTAGCTGTGCCACAATATACAGTAAGCAGGATAGTGAAGGTAAATGATGTACAGCGCATAATCAAGTCCAGAGCTCTTCACACTATGTTCAGTTATTCACACATTCACAAGCTCATAGTGACAAGCTACTAAATAGTAGCCACAGCGGTCCTGGGGCAGTCTAACAGAGGCGAGGCTGCCATGCACCGGCACCACCGGGCCTCTGACCAACACCAGCAGGGAAAGCGGGTGAAGAGTGTTGCCCAAGGACACAACAACAGAGATGGACGGACTGGTGATTGAACTGGCAACCCACTGATTGTATCGGTAGTACAGTCAACTGTACCCATGTGAAGTTTGCTAATCTCTCCTGGAGCTTTAACTCAATGGTCAGATAAAGCAAAGTTGAGGTTTGGTCTGCAACGATGCACAGATATGCGGGAAAGCACCTCCCACATATTCATACATGCGGGATGTATGAATATGCATTCCACAAGAACAAACTGTTCAACTCCGAGTTGAAAAGTTGAGAGAGTCGATACTGTTGGGCTGAAACCTGGAGGACAAGCAAATTCTCAAACTAGAAAAACTCAAACATTCCTGAACATATGTCTTAGAAGAATTCTCGGTATTTGCTGGCCAGACATTATCAGTAACATCAGCCTACAGGAAAGGACTTACAAACTGTCAGTAGAGGCAGAAATCAGGAAGAAAACATGGAGTTGGGTAGGACAGACTCTACACAAATCGCCAACCAACACAACCAGACTTTCAGGTGGAACCCCTAAGGCAAGCGAAAGAGAGGCCATCCAAGAAACACCAGGCGAGACAGACATAAAAAAGATTGGCTACACGTGGAACCAACTAGAACGAACTGCTGAAGACTGAAATCTGGGGAGTTCTTCCTTTGGCAGCCCATACCCTGGTGTGGTGAAGGACAAAAGATTTATTAGAACAAAATATGGATTATTTTGACAACTTTTCCTAGAACAGTGGATAATCTAAGGAGACTATGCAAAAAAAAAAAGAAAAGTGGTAAAAGACTGCTTTCTCTGTATAATGCCAGCAATGTATTAGTTTGAAGCGTCTGTGGTGGAATCATGTTGATTAAAAAGAAAGACTGGCTGTTTTTAGACTGACTTACAACTGTGTTTAGTGTTATATTATCAGATATATCTCTAGTGATGATAGGAAATGCATGACGGGTTTTCAGATCAGTCACGACTTAATGCTTCTGGCCCATGTGTCACTTCCCTCTTTGTAGATTACTTGTTATACTTCCAGACAGCAGAAGTCTACAGCCACTTTTGCATGGTGACATCTACCCAGCCCCTGCACCTATCATTCAACAGCGTACCACAAAGCGATCTGAACACAACGACTTACATGGTGTTCATCCTTCGTCCCGCCACGGGCAAAACCTGTTTGATTTTGCCACTTCCACACAGAGAGGGCTGGTAGATCCACAGACGGGCAGAGTGTTTGCACCGCTGCCTTTCTCTGTAATCTATAGGCTGGCTTCCTTTAGAGTATGAGCTGACAGCTTCATTAGGAGAAGGATTGGGGGTGGGAGAGGGTGCTTTGATCTAAAAATACACACAGTTGTCGCCTCTGGAGTGGAGAAAGTTCAAGTTTTCCGATCTTCTTCAAAAAGCTGTGTTTTGTCTTTGTTGTTTTGTTTTTTTTTGTTTTGTTTTTTGTTTTGTTTTTCTTGTTCAAGGAGAAGCTGGCAATGGGAGAAGGCGGCTCTGGCATTGAGGGTGTATTAGTTTTCCATCCCTCAGAGTGTTGTCTATTTGTGGAACATGTGAGTGTTTGGATGGCATGTGATCTGGAATGGGTTTGGGCAGTAATATTCAACACACACCGCTGTTTTTCTCAGTCTTTCACTCAGCAGGAATGCAGAATTTGTTCTCTCAACAGGTGGTTTGGCTAATAAGGGACATTCGCTTCTCCACCTGGTGGCTCCGGTCCGCCTGATGTGAAGAATCCAACGTGCTTTAGGAGGTTTTACTTCCAATCTGATATCTCTCGTTTGTTCTTCTCTTCTCTCTCTCAGAGCATAGGCAAAGGCTCCCTGTGGTCCATAGATCCAGAGTACAGGCACAACCTGATCCAGGCGCTGAAGAAGACGCCGTATCATCCTTATTCGCCCAGTTTGGCCACACCTTCCACCTCCCCGCCCAGCCTGCCTCAGACGTTTCACCACAGGTAAGAAACCAACAGAGAAAAGCTGAGATCTTCTGTGACTTTAATCTCCTTTACAGCTAGATCAAGGTTGTAGAGGCCTTGATTGGAATTTCTCCGTTTTGTATCTCTGTGATTGTTCTGTCCTGTCACACAACTTGTTTTACAGTTGACTATTGAGCCAGAAATAAATAATAGCTATGCAATAGTGTGTTTTGCTTCATGACCAGGTTTACCTTGGTGGGTAAACAACTTGCGCAATTGTCAATCCACCATAAACTCAACTTCTCCTGGGTCCTACTAGACCAGAAAGGTGTGCCACTAACCTGGTGCAAAGTTTGCTTTGCAAACATTAGGATTTATTGAACTAAGTTCAATAAATCCTAATGTATTTCAGTTGGTCTTTAGCTGACAGAAATACACAAAGTAGCACATAATCATGAAAATGATGTATGATTTTAAACAGTAGAACCACCTTCCTGGTCTTTTTGGGGCATGTCTGACTAAGCCGGTCACAATAAGCAATAACTCAATGAATCACATGATAAATTAAACTGAGTCACAGTTTTCATTTGCATTCTTGTTTGTGTCGTTCACTTAATCTTTTAAGAAAAGCTGCCCTTTAATATTAATGAAAAGCCGTCATTTTGAGAAATGCTGCAAACATTTGTTTTTTTGCCGAAGTACTAACTGGCAGTTTTGCGTGTTATTCCTGTTTGAGCCTCATGATGACTCTGTTTTGAAGGGCAATTTATTTTGTTTAAAACTTAATAATCCTTTTTATTTATTGCTTTGTTTAATTATTTTGAATATTTAAAAAATGTCTTCCTGTTCCGATTTTAAATGTTCTTTGGAAATGATCGTTTATTGATCTGTGAGAATGTGTGCTTGAATTCTTATCAGTATACTAGTTGAAAACGGTCTCAAAACAACGATATCATTTATCGCAATAGTCTTTGGGACAACATATCATCCAGCAAAATATGTTATCAGCTACGACTGAAAATAAAAAGTTTTGACCATTGTTCTGTGTGAAATAACTCAATCAGATTAGCCAGGCGTCTGTGAATGTGCATTTCCCAGCCTACCACTGATTCTGATGTTGATTTAGTTTTGGACTTTGACTGGGCCATTCTGACACCTCCATATGCTTTGACTTAAACGATTCAGTTGTAAGTCTTGCTGTATATTTTGGTGTTAGGTTAGGTTTTCTCTCTGGAATATCCTATATTTTACTTTAATTTTTTAAAAACATCACCAAAGCATAATTCTATCAGCACCATGCTTTCACAGAACAGCTGTATTTATGGAGAGATCAAATCACCCACAGGTGGACTCTATGTACAAACTAGGGAGACTTCTCAAGGCATTTTGGGTATTTTTTGTATTTTTATTTGTAAGAAATAAAAACCATGTATCTTTTTTATGCCACTTCATAATAATGCTCATATTTGTTTCTTTCTCTAACATACTATGGCTTAGTCAAGGTGATGGATTACCTTGACCTTTGGCTGGTCTCTTACATGGTACCACTGTTATGTTATCCCATAGTTTTACATGAAATGAAAATAAACTATTTTTAATAAGTAGAAAATCCAACAGCTGTACCTGATCAAAAAAAAGTTAAACCTCCTACCGAATCAAATACACCAAACATACTTATTAATTAGTAGCTAGTGTGAACTAATCTGCCAATATATGAACCCTCCTTATTTAACTTTTTTTTTTTTATCATGGAGACATTTTTTATTAAGTTAAACTAAAACATGAACATACAAAGTGCAATTGTCTGCTTAAATGTTGCAAAAATATAGAAAGTATGACTCGGACACTCATGCTTTAGGTAATGACTGAGTCCTTTGACTCTTTCATAAATAAAAAGAAACAAATTCTGGAGGAAAAAAGTTAACTGGAAGTTTCGAATCAGTTTTCTCCTCTACTTTCACATGTAAATGTGCTTCAGATGTTTTCATTTGGAGCAAAAGTTTCCAACTACGACACCAGATATATGGATTACAGGTGGTGGGGTGAAAAAAATAAATAAATAAAACCCCACTTTTCCCACGACAAATGACTCAGATATACATTTCTATTAGAGTGCGTAGGAGTTTTAGTGGATCTCCGAAATTAAAGACCACCAATCAAACATGCCGTGCCAATATCCAATTATAACATAAAACCTACAGCGTGCATTCACCTCCCTGTCTCCCATCTGTCGCTGGCGCTCTGCATCGGCGCGCTGCAGGCGTCGGAGCTGACCCGCTCCATCCTCTCCTCCAATCCTTTTTATTTTTATTTTTTGCACGCTGCTTTCATGCAACAACAGTCCTGTCTTTCTCGCCCTCAGGCGCATCTCAGGTAAAGAAGAAGGGGGAAAAAAGCCCCTTTTTATTTTTTTTTTTCGGCACATGTTCGCTCCATCAACCCCTCCAACCCCCCCCCCCCCCCCCCCCCCCACCCCCCTCTGCCGCATCTCCTCCGGCTTCTTCCACACCTCCATCTCCCTTTTTTTCTTCTTCTCTTGTCTCCCCTTTTAATGTCCCGCACACACCCTCCCGTTCGTCCTCAGGCATACAATGGCGACCGGCGAGGCAGCCTCCTCTTCATCTTCTTTATTTATCCCTGCTGTAATTCATCTCTTCTTTCCACTCTTTCCCCCTCTCCCTCCATCACTTTATCATTCAATTAAATCCTCCTTTGTCTACGCTCACTTTTCCACACCGCGCAGTGAGAGCATCCTCTCATCCTTGCATTATGACCTCTCCACCTCCCTCCATCATCCCCCCTTTTTTGCTAACTTCTCAGTATCCTGCACCTCCATCTATCCCTGCGGATATGTCAGAGAGAGGTACCATTAGTTTTTTCTTCTTCTTCTTCCCTTTCGCTGTGTCCAACCAGCAGCCCTCCACCCCCCACCCCCCCCAAACCCTCCCCCCATCCAGCTGATCTGGGCAGGTTGGCTCGCAGAGCCAGCGGACTGTGTAAGACAGAATAATTGGTTCACCATAAAATGTAAAAGTGTCATTTTGAACAATGAGGTATGGGGAAGTGGAACAAATTGGAGGCTGGATTCGGAACATGGAGGGGTGCGGGGGGATGAGGCTGTTCATTTGCATTCTGACACACACAGAGGGGAAGCGGGAGAGAGAGAGTAAGGGGAACTGGAGGTCCCCATGTGATGCAGCACCTGCACTCTCTCTGTGTCTGTGTGTGTGTGCGTGTGTGTGTGTGTGTGTGTTTGTACTGTATTCACTTCAGTTACAGTACACAGTTCTTATATTTATAAAACGTCCTTCACAGTGTGTTGTAACGTGAGATGTCTGGCTCTGCCCGGGTTTCCACAAACTCCAGCGAATGGGTTTGTGATGGAAGTCAGCAGTGAAGAGTTCCTTTTTAATCGAGCTTAAATGTTTAGATTGTACAAAAAACAGGTTTGATTTTATTTACTAATGTGGGGAAAAGGCTGTACAAATCAGCTTGATATTATGTGAAAAGTAGCTTCAACCTAAACCAAATAGCTGGTTGTGCCACATTTGGTGGTGGCTATTTACACCAAGTGCTAGCTACCACTGGTAATGAATATTTTATGTCGCCGTTGAGAAGTTTTGGCACACAGTTCCTTATAAAAATGTTTTGAATCGGCCACAATCAAGACACGTCAACTGCATCTATATCTGGACTTTAACTGGGCCACTGTAAAACTGTTTATTTTTTTTTTTCATATTGAGGCATTTAAAAGAAGAGTTACACTGGAAAAGACAAAATATTACCTTGTATTTTTTTGTTCATATCTCAGTATACTTGAAATAAGACATGACTTACTTAATAGTAACTTTTCATGAAGATATGGTAACTTAAGCCAATAATTCTTTAATATTGTGTTGAAAAAATAATTCTAATTCCACTGGCAGATTATTTTACTTAGACATTTTCCCCATCTTTTTTCCTATATACTAGTAGTAGTAATAGTAGTTTTTTTTTATCAATATAATGGAATCATTGACTTAAAGCAAGTGCATTTATCTTGCTGAAAACCTATTGGTAAGTTAGTTTTGATTATCAATAATTACCAGAACTCGACGATGGCAGTGCAGGTTTTGCATGAGATGAGATTGTCTTCTCGTGAAGTTACTCAGTATGTGGGATGTACAGCTTTCACTGTGGCTAGGTGTTGGAATCAAGGTGTGTAACCAGAGAGGTTGTGGTTTTCTTCTGTCAAAAACCCAGATTCATCCGATGAGACGACCCAACAAGCAGTGGAGAGTCTTGCGGAGGAAAACCTTGTATCTGTGCCTCTCTGCTGTTCATACAGGGTTGTGTTCCAGTTGAGCTGCTCCTCTCTGCCTCTCACTGACCGGTAGCTTTCTCAGCTTTCGGGGGTGGAGGGGTTGATAGTTTGAGATGGTAATTTGAACAGATGTTCTCTCCCAGCACAATACAGACACTGCTGAGGCATTTCTGGCTAAAACAAAGATGAAAGGGTGCTCTTACACGTCACTAGCAATACCAAAAGCAGTTTCACATTGACGAGACAGACAGTTGGAGTGGCAAAGATTTGAGAGTGCATTTCAGTGCAAATCCACCTGCTTTTCTTAGTTCTTTCGATTGGCTGTTCTTTCCTTTGTTTCTGGGATTTTATCTTATTTACATGTTACAAACTGCATGCGTTTTAAGTATAGGTTATACTATACTATAAATTTGCTTATTTGCGGATTTCTTCTTAGAGCACACCAAAAGTATTCAAAAGTAAATGCATCTTGGGAAACTGAAATACCCAAGATGCTGTTGGCTGCCGCTTGTAAAGCAGCCAATCCAGGAGTGCTTTTTATTTTCCTTAACACTGATTGACTTTTCCACCAAAAGCAGAGGAAGATGAGGAAGACTGTGCATGTTAGCTCATGTGGCAGTGCTAAGACGGTTTCTACTGTGTGTATTAATGCATGTTAAGTTATACTTGGTGTTTGAACTATTAAAATAAGGAATTGGAAGCATTTTTAGAAGGAATCTCAAGTATTCATGGATTA